CAGAGCAGTCCCGGACTTTTTTCTGTCAGATTCTTTCATTTTACGCAAAACCTCATTGAACCTAATTTCATCGAAGATAGCTCTTCTGAAGAATTACCTTCATTTTGTCTCTGCGACAGATTTCCTAACCTCAATAGTTATCAACTTTAATGCTTAATATCTTGGATCACAGGGTAGAGCAATTTTTTTGCCAGATTCTTTCGTGCAAAAACGTCGTATAAATTTAATTTTCTTGATTTTTGAGATGAATATGCTAAACTGTATAATTATCTTTTTTTCAAATATTTTCAGTTTTTACTTTTCCTAAAACTAAATCACATATATTGTTAATAAGTATGTACATATAGTTATTGTATTTTATGCTGATTCTACAATAAGTTTGGTAATCAGCAATCCTAAGTCTTATCGGTGAATTGATAAACCACCGGTTTGGCCAACAGCCAACTTAGACGAATAGTCTGTTTTCACAATATGTGGTTATCTAAAGATTAAAAGTTACCAAGAGACTTAAAATTTCCGATTACTGACTCATTGTAGAATCAGCTTTGCGCTTTTATTATAAGGGTATTTACATATAAAGGTAATTATTTTAAATACGGCCCTCCTCTCCCCTCCTAGAAATGTAATCGTTCAATTGTTTTCATACAAAACAAAAGAATCTGACAAAACACGCAGCAGTCAATCTCTTAAATTGAATTATTAAGTGTTGAAGTTCAAGACTTTAGATGTTAAGATATCTGTGTCGACTCAATACAGCTCTAAGTATATGTTCTGCTTCAATTATATTCACTGTATTTTTAAAACAATCAATTTATTTTTAAAGCAGTGAATTTGTGTTTGTGAAGTACAGAATTTGTATAATTAATGTAGACCATATACATAGCGCTATCGAATGGAGATGACAGATATCTTAACCTCTCGAACTTTAATATTTAATAATTCAATTCACGAGGCTGACCGCCGCGTTTTGTTTTGAGTGAAAACGCGTCAAATGAGTAGTAATGAGTTTTTATTAAGATTCTAGGGAGGACTCATATTCTGAATAATTACCCATATAAATGCGAATAAAATACATTTTCATTGATTCTTACTTTATCATGAAGCTTTCTTTTCTCTTTTTTATTTTTTCCTGTTGGTGGTAATAAAGTACCGCAACATAAATCAGCAATGTATAATATAGTGATCAGAGTAATTGCATTCATAGTTATATCTAGTAACAGTTACATATTAAATATATAAAATTATTTGAACATTCTTTAGACAGAGAGAAACGACAGAAACAACAGGCCGGCGTTTTTCGAGTTACCGTCGAAATTGTTCGTACACTAGCGACAATATCCCATTTTCGATTTGAGTATTACATGGTTACATCCATCATATAACACTGCCGATAAAATTACAGCATGTATAGCAGAACTACGAAGAAAATGAATGGCTGCATTCAGCAGAACGTTTATTTTGCAACTGTTGGAAATTTTCTTCGTGCTGATTGCATTATGCTTTAGGTCAAAAGGAATAGTCTCAGCAAAGAATAAATCATAAAACAATTGCAAAATTATTGTGTTCTGCTGAACACAGTCAATGGCCTAGTTTTCACCAAGGATTTAAATCGAATGTAAATCAGAATGTAAGAACCAATCAACTACAATCGAGTATTCCTCTGTTACAGTCAAACAACAGGAGAATGCTCGATTGTAGTTAGTTGATTCTTACATTCTGATCCGGATCTCCGTGGAAACTAGGCCAATATAATATCCGTGCTACAGGCTACCGAAACTTAAGTTGGTATTCATAGTCGATTCATAGAGTCTTAGGTTGGTATTCATAATCGAAGTCAAGGCAGCGCTCTATCTCGATCAAGATTGTCTTATTCAATTAAGATCATCTTGGAATCGTAACATTTCAGTCAGAAATAAGACGAAAAGTTTTTCCTTAAGAAATTCTTGTTTGATTTAAGGATGTCTTGACGAAGACGGTCTTAAGATTGAACTTATTTGATATTCGGCTGTTTCTATAATATTTCGGTTGAATTCTCTAATAAAAACTGCATTTGAGAAGTATAAATTTACGAAATGTATTATTATATTATCTTTTGTATGATTAGACTGTGGATTCCGACTTGAAGTGCGTTCCCTGGTGAAAAAATTTCGCTGAAATTATTCCATGTTTAGAACATTTTAGCAAAATTGTTGATTGAAAAATTATTAAAATTTCACTGAAAGTTAATTTTTTAACTGACATATTGAAAAATCACTGAAATTAAACTAAAATTTCTCTGAACTTTTGTAGAAACTTTTCGGAAACTTCTTAAAATTTCTTTAAAATTTTACTGAAAAATAAATTTTTCAACAAAAAATCGCTGAAATTAAACTGAATTTTTTCTGAAATGCTGTTCCAAACGAGAATTAATTTCAATACAATTTTTCCATTAGAATTGGAGAATGGATTTTAAATCTGTTTTATTCGTCTTGTCTGTATTTTTTCTGGAGTACTGCAGGTGGTAATTAATGTTAAGAAGATCGCGTTCAATTCAAATTTTGATAAAAATTTTGATAAAAAACACTGAATCAATGTGTTTTCGCGTAAAAATAAATATTTGAAGAAAAAGATGTCACGTTACTCCGCGAACCGAAATATATCATTAAAGTTGAGCACTATTTATTAGGTGTACAACTTTGCTTCCGTCGTTTTTTTCCGAAATTCGAGGCTTTATTGTAAAAAACTGGTTATACATTTATGATTCAAAGTATTGCCCATCTCTGGCCACTACTTTCTCCCATCTTTCGGGTAGCGTACGAATCCCGCGTCGAAAAAACTGGTCATCTTTTGAGGCTATCCACGAATCGATCCAATTTTTTACTTCTTCATAAGACCGAAAGTGCTGGTCAGCCAAGCCGTGTGCCATTGATCGAAACAAGTGATAGTCAGAGAGAGCAACGTCTGGAGAAAACGGCGGGTGGGGTAGGACTTCCCATTTCAACGTTTCCAAGTATGTCTTGACCACTTTCGCAACATGGGGTCGAGCCTTGTCATGCTGCAAAATCACTTTATCGTGTCTCTCGTTGTATTGCGGCCGTTTGTCTTTCAATGCTCGGCTCAAACGCATCAATTGCGTTCGATATCGATCGCCTGTTATTGTTTCAGTCGGTTTTAACAGTTCATAATACACTACACCGAGCTGGTCCCACCAAATACAGAGCATGACCTTGGACGTCAAAATCACCATTCTTGAAGCATTGAAACCACTCACGTCACGTTCTTTCACTAATAGCGGCCTCATCATAAGTATTTGAGAGCATTCGATGAGCCTCAGCCGCAGATTTCTTCATATTGAAGCAAAAAATTAAAATCTCCCGCAAATGACGAGAATTTGGCTCGTAAACTGACATTTTCAATCGAGAATAACTTTATGATGCAGACACAAATCGACTAATGTTTCTATGGGGTTATGTTGACAGATGCCCAAGTTTATTGTATGACGTCTATGATCTATTTATTTCGACCACCACTTACCGCTAAAGCCATCTATAGGAAAACGGCGGAAGCAAAGTTGTACACCTAATATGTTAGGAAATCTGTCACAGCAGTGGTCCATTGTTTTTAAAACACAAATTCACTGCTTTAAAAATAATATAAGAAAATAATTTGTATTTTTAAAGCAGTGAATTTATGTTTTTAAAGCAGATTTGTTTTAAAACAGAAAAGCTTAAGTTATTTAAACTTAATATCTTTTTAATTTTTTTTATATGAATTAAAGTTTAAATTCAGCATTTCTTTAAAATACATGCTATAAACGCGATTCGCCGATGAGTAAATTCCTATAAATTTTGAAAAAAGTTATAAATATATTATTTTATAATGTATTATTAAATTTTTGTTAATTAAAATTAATAATATTACCTAACGATTTAAATATAA